TCTTATTCTACAGTCTATATGCTGTCTAGACTATGATCAGAAATCAACAATCATCAGTTGTCTTTTTAGCTTTGTGTTGATTTTCCTTCCTTCTTTAACTGCTTATATTCATAAATCCTTAATCAGAGAATTAGTTATTCTGAACATTGTTACAGCCACTGTTTTTCATCTTGTTTACTATAAGGCCATTTCATTATCTTATAGAAGGAGTACTAGATTAATATTCAGGGGACTGGAGCTATGACTCAAACTTCATCAGTAATTTGATTTGTAACCTTAGGGCTATCCTTTAGTCTCTCTGTGATGTGGTTTTCCATCCATGTACAGTCCTTGTGATAATAATAACATACCCATCTGACAGATACAAAGATAAACTTATTCCAAAATAATACAATATTTTTATTTTTGTATAAGAAATAATTCATAACTTTGTTTTTCCTTTTGTTTCTTAAATAACAATGAAACAACAAAAGCCCAATAATTCTTAGATGCATCTTTTACTTTCTCCTCGCCACCATTCTTTTTTTGTTGCTGTTATTTCTTCTTTGTAAATACATATTGGGTGGTTATATCATAGCAAGTCAGGTAATATTTTGTAGATCTGTTTTTAGGACCAGACTACTAGATTATATGACTCTTCAATCCCTCATTTGGGGAAGTTAATTTAGTTGGATGGTTTTGTGAAAGCTAGTTATGTATATGAAAGAGTACTCAGTTTTCATGTATGCCTTATAAATTGCAAAATGGACTGTTACTACCAAAAATCCTAAAATGTTTGTGATTTATAATTCAAAATTATTTATTCTGAGTAATCTGCAAACTTTTCCTTGGTTTGTAATAGATACATAAGAATGAATGATTCTAAACCTTTCACCTCTGTTATTTTATCAAACATTTCTTAGCTGGTCTTACAATATGAAATTTTTCCATTGACTATCATAAGTATCAGGGCTGGGGATTTTGCTCAGCGGCACAGCGCCTACCTGGCAAGTGCAAGGTCATGAGTTCGATTCCTGGTACTGGAAAAACAAAAACAAAAACAAAAAACAAAAAACACGTAAATATTCCCATGAGACTATTAGGGTAAATATTTTTTTACAGTAAAAATATGATGTGAGCCTTATATATAATTTTGAATTTTTTAGTAGCCACATGAGGAAAAAGGTAAAACTAAGGAGATGAAATTCATATATTTTAATCTGATGTGTCCAAAGTATTATTTCAATGTGTGATCACTGTAAGAAGTTATTGAGACACATAATTCACATTTTTTGTATTAAGTCTTTGAAATTAAATGCTTATTTTCATGCTTAAAGCATTTGGACTAACCACATTTTAAGTAGTTAATAGCCACATGTGATAGGCAACTACTGCGTTGGACAGTTTGTTTCTTTGGTTGTTTTATAAACTCAGCTCTCTCATGAACTTAAAGAATTATGATTTCATAGATCAACTGGTCTTTCCGCTTGAGCAGTTGAGGTACCTCAGAATTTAGAGCCTTTGCTTAAAGCTCTGAACTACTAGGTCTAATCCCTCTGTCAATGGTCCCACCTCCCTGCTCCCCTTCACAATCTTCCTCGGGTTCTCACTTCCATCTTTATGCCATTTTACCCTTTTCTACCTTTCTACCTTTTATGCCATATGTTCTTCTCTCTTCTCTCTCCTGTGCATGTTCTGCTGAGATTCTCAGGAGACACAGACCATTAACAGTATATGGCTTTTTACCTCCACAGACATACAAAATCATTGTCATTAGAAATAGAAGCTGCTACTGTTCAATACACACTATAAAGAACAAAAAGTTTTTCTCATCTTAGGAAATGTTAGGAATCCTTGATGATAATGGGGTCTGTATTACGAGGTTATGTGACTTACAGGCTTTATATCTGTTCTATGCAATGTTGAGTAAGAATTATGTTTTTTTGCTATTCTAACAGTTTGTTTTAATTAGTCTCAGAAGCCAGAGAACTCAGTACTTATATCAGAAATGAGATGAAAACATACCAGTTCAATTTTGGTATAGGTTTGAGCAAGGAATCATAATCAAGTTTTCTTGCCACGTTATCCTGTCTTTTCCTGTTCTTGGGTCTTACACTTCTAAGACACTTTTTTTAGTCCGCATTGTACTTCTCACAATGCATTATTTAGCTCCAATTAAATGCAATAATATGCAGTAACTTTGTTTGGTTTTTGCAGAGTAACTCAAAAAAGTCATTGCCAGCAATCAAAAAATGAAATGACAATTCCACTTACAATAGCATCAAAAAGAATAAAATACTTAGGAGTAAATTTAATGAAAGAAATTTAAAACTTAAACTTTGAGAACTACAAAACATTGAAAGTAATCAAAGAATACCTATATAAACAGAAAGACATTCTGTGTTGATGTACTGGAAAACTTAAATATTGTTAAGATACTTTAAAATTGGGTAGTGTGTTCAGTGCAGTCCCAGTGGCCTATTTTTTTGCAGAAGTTCACAAGCTGATCCTCAAATGCCTATGAAAATGCACAAGGCCCCAAAGTGCCAATAGTTTGAAAAAGAACAAAGATTACTCAAACTTCCAGATTTCAAAATTTAATATAAATCTACAGTAATCAAAATACTATGGCATTGGCGTAGGACGGAAATCTAAGTAATTAAAGACTGCTCTTGTCTGTGAGACTCTTAAGTTATTCTGAGCTGTTAACATTAGGCTACCCTAGACTTAAGAATTTGTTAAATCTTTAGCTGACATAGTGTAGCCCACTTTTGTAGTAGTTACTTTTTCTATGGTCTGCCAAAATGACTGTTTATGTGTTCTGTTTCTCTTCAGGAGAAACTTGGAAGTCTATGGATGTCAGTTTCCATGGTTGTTTTGCAAAGAGCTCTCATGACCTCAGTAAAAATTATGATTTCATAGATAGCTGGTTTTTGCTATTGTTATGGTGGAAAAGACAGTGTCTTCCTGTTTTCTTCATCTTAAATGAAGTGAAACTAGTGTGGTGCATAGTATGTAATATAGTTAGCACTTGAAGTTTGTTTTAATACTTTGAATACTTATGTACCAAGCAGTATGCTACTGTATCATCTCATTTAGTCCATATGCTTGTTTATGAAGTTTAGGTGCTGTTATTGTTCCCATTTTTTAAGATGTAAAACTTGTGCTTAGTGGAGAAAAAGAACTAAAGCACAGAAATAAACAAATATTTTATTGCTCTTACCTAAATCACTTTCCCCCTGTCTCCCTGTCTAGTAAAGCAGTTAAATCCATTCTTACTTCTCCAAGGAGAGGGAAGGTAGCCCTGGCATTGCAGGTCTTCATTTTCCTTACTTGGTAAGAAAAAAGGGCACACTAGAGGGAAAACTTGAAGGAATCTTGTCAGACTTTGTGTATCAGAGAGGAATCCCTTAAGGATCTGGTAGCTTTTGCTGGTCAGTACTGTAGTAACAATGATCATCATGGTTCTGCTGCCACTTTTTCTTTTACCTTCTGTTTGCAGTTTGAAATAGATGATAGCCTTTAGGGGTGTGTGTGTGTGTGTGTGTGTGTGTGTGTGTGTGCACTTAAGTGAGATAGTTTGAATTTAAAGTATTTTTCATTACCATTGATTCTTTCACTATCTCCTTATGTAGGGATTCTTTTCAGTAATTCATTTTAGAGACCGAATATAATTATTTGTACTGTATACATCTGTCTAAAGAAATTCTTTGTTAGCTGTCTCTTCACCCTTTTAATACATTCAGTGAAAGGTGAACTAAAACCCTTCTAAAAACTTTGGTTTATTTTTGTTTACAGTATTTCTGGAAAAGAAACATCATTGAGCCTGATCAGTAAGCTCAGTTAAAACAAATATTAATCCATTGCTTCAGTTGTTGTCTCATATTCAGTTTCTAGATGCACCATGTGGAATTCACCATATCTCATATCTCACACTGAATAGTCTCTATTTTTCCCTCTCTCCTCCTCTCCCGTCCCTTCCCCTCTCTTCCGTCTCCCTTCTCTCTTCTCTGTCCCCTCTTACCTCTCCTCTCTCCCCTCTCCCCTCTCCCCTCTTCTCTCTCTCCTCTCCCCTCTCCCCTCTTCCTTCTACCCTCTTCCCTCTCCCCTCTTCCCTCTTCCCCTTCCCTCTTCCCTCTTTCCTCTCCCTCTTCCCTCTTTCCTCTCCCTCTTTCCTCTCCCTCTTCCCTCTTTCCTCTCCCTCTTTCCTCTCCCTCTTTCCTCTCCCTCTTCCTTCTCCCCTCTCCCTTCTCTCTCCCCTCTCCCCTCTCCCTTTCCCTCTTCCCTCTCCCACTTTCCTCTCCCTCTCCCCTCTTCCCTCTTCCCTCTCCCCTCTCCCTCT